GGTGCAAATCGGTGCATACTAAGGAGCATTTTCAAATGCTTAATGTACAGTTTTCTCTATTTTAGGGAGCGTACTTAAAATATTTACTGAGCATTTATGATTTTTAACGTATTTTGATCAATCATTTAAGGAGCAACCCGATCTATTTTGAGGTGATTTTTTTTACTTATTAAGGAACATGTCATTGTTTAACGATTCATTTACCTTTTTACCTTGCCAAACTATATGAAAATTCTTAAATATTGGGATAACATTCAAAATACTTCAATTCTAGTGTGTTCAAAAATATAAATACTTTGTCGTAAAACAAAATTTGTAGAACATGTAAGCAATTCCATTTGAGATTTTTGTAATAATTTTGGCATCTTTAGTTGAATTGATAATTCATGAAAACTATGATAAAACAGTTTCAACATGCAAATGATAGGAAAGTGTACGCGTTTCCCAGGCTGAGAACCGTGGGTTAATAATCTTTAACATTCACTAACTAAATTAGGAGGGGTAACATTCTTTAACCTTTAGCATGGCTTCAAAAATATCCATAAATGGAAAAGAGTGTTTAAATACCATTGTATAAAGTCTGTTCCAGCTAGTATTTGGCCGCTTCTTTTGAATAACTGTAGTGCCTCTAGTTGTCGTAGCAAAAAAAAAAACTATTGCCAGAAGGATTGTTTATTTAGTAGTGAAAATTTCATCAGGATTCATATAGGGGAAATGACGGCTTCAGCATGCCAGACTATTTTCGGCAACCCAAATTGAAACACTATTTTCACTGGATTTTCTTACGAAAACACTTCGCTGAATGCATGCTGACGATTCTTCATGCTTTCAGCTTCAATTTGACTATATTTTTACCACTGAGAAAAAGCAATCTAGCAAGGTTTTCTTGAAATGAAACACACGCACTACAAATTGTAGCTGATTTCGAGTTGCCGATAATAGAACAGCAGATTTACATGCAGTTCAAATGGAACGGTTGCCGAAGAAAAACTGGTTGCCGACAATACTCGCTCTCACTAGAGAAGATTGGAGCTTTGTAAAAGCGTTTCAAAACAGCTTTTGACAATTAATTCGACTGAAATTGTTAGAGCAGCTGGCAGCAAAAGATTGTAAACAAACCAATACTGCATATGTGTGCGTTCCATAGAGAAAAAGGCTATAGAAAGAAGGTCGCTGCTTAGGTTGCCGAGAATACGTAAATTCCCCTACTTGTTCAAAAGTTATCGAAGATGGAAAGTGACAAACGTGAAAAAATTCTGCACACTCACGTGCAAAACCCAACGTGGTCAGCTCCAGTATGTTGCCAGTGTACCCTGACAATTTGGTGCTCGTGGTTCTGTCAAACTCATAAATTTCAGAAGTGTTATCTGAATAGGGCGAATTTTGAAATGATGTACAATATATAAAATTATTGTTTAAAATTCATCTTATTGTCGCGTGCCAAACAAACGAACACGCGGCGTCCGACGTAAAAATTAACATTAGTGACATATGAACTCCAGTGATGCCAGCAAGAAATGTCGTTCTGATTCTCAGTAGTATGCACAATACATAATCGGTTTACGAAACTATTTTTTTTATTTGGTGTATGTATTTGAGCAGTACAGAACCAAAAGCTTAAACATATGATTTGTGAAACAAAATTATACGATTGTCATCGAATTTATTGGAATAAATGAGAATTGATCAAGGATACTTTCGGTGTTTTCGATGCTATTGCTATTATCGTCGATGATGAACAAAGAAGAATGATTTTGCAGCGAGTAAGAGCGTACTAATTATACGCAGCTAGTACTGCAAAATGTATAATTTTAGGTACAAGCTTAAAAGAATACAACGGCGTACTTTGGACGTCTGTCGAAGGCTTAAAATGCATTTAAGCTAAATATGTGATATATTGTTCAAATTTCTTGCGACAACGAATCTACGACCATTCGTTAGAACTCAGTTTTTTAGCTGATATTTTAGAAAATTCTGATTAACGAATCTCTTCACTTATATGATCACTAAATTTTCCAGAGTTCGTCATGGTATTTGAGTTGTCATTTTAACTATTCCCATAACTATTTAGCTTAATAATTTAACATCAAATTTATGGACTCATCTGTTTCTTGAGACTTTAAGTTTGGTGAGGAATAACGTTAATGATATGGACGTGTGTAACAAAAGACAATCACTAAAATTCATTCGGTTTAGAAGCTCATTAAGAATATTTTTTGTGAAACCTTTATATCATTTAGATAATATAATTTTATTTATTTATTCAATTGAATTTGCAAAATATTCGTCTTCACCCAGCTACTCACCGCAAAATAAAATCAATTAAATAATTTTATTTCATTTCACCACGTACAGGGTGCGTGACGAATTTTTGCAGTAAATGGCATATTTGAGAAAAAATACACCAGTTAGTTATTCTAGCAATGAATTTTGTGCGATTTATTTTCTTTCGCAACATATGGAAGTTGTAAGTAAATTTATTCAAAAAAATTGCCTTCCCTTTCGACGACTGTAGTTAGACGCTTCCGGAAACTGCAGTATGCACGTTTTAAAATGTTTCGATCCATAGATGTCATCACTGCCTTGATTTTAGCTTTTAGCGACTTAAGTGTGGTGTGAAGGGTTCTATTGGTATCCCGTTGGACGACGCCCTATAAAAATAATCCAACGGATTGATAGCGGGACTGCTTGGGGGCCAAATTTCTTCTTCCTAAATTTACGAAATATTTTCCGTAAGCCATTTCTGTGCTTTATTAGCAGTATGAGCAGGTGCTCCGTCTTATCACTTTCCCAAGCCTTTTTTTAATACTATACACTGTTCTTTCAGACACATTTACCGACCGAATTATTTCTTTCATGCATACTCCGGCGCGCAACAAAGCGACAACGGCTGACAGATTGTTCTCTTGTTTCGACATCTTTACGTTTACTCAACATTGTTTGTTTAAATCTTACACCTAACAGTATAAGCTATCCAGTGCTGCCAAATATATCTAAATCATGATGCACAAGCATGAGAAATTACTATTTGCAATTTACTGCAAAAATTCGTCACGCACCCTGTACATTATAAATTCACTCTTTTCATACAGCATTCTTGCCTGTTGTTTGTCATCCACACAGGGTGAAACAAAAAGTTGGTTTCCCATAGAGAAATACCATTGCAGTGGTGAAGGACAATACCATTGCAGTGGTGAAGGACAATCCCTTTGTTTACGTTGTGTAGTGACATCTACTATTTGCAAGTGGGTACGTGAAACTAAGATTATCTGTCACCTTGCCGGGGACTTGGCTTAAACGTTACCGGTAAACACTAACGTTGGATCGTGCAAAACAAAACAAACGTAGAAGTGGAATATATGACCGAAAACTACGAGCGAAGGTCATAAGGGTAGTCCAAAAGAATCCTGGGATCACCGGTCGTGATTTGGCGAAAAGGTTCAGTGCGGCACACAGTACAGTTCGGCGAATCTGTATGCGAAAAGGTTTCCGGTCGTACCATGCCAGCAAACATCCCAACAGGACGCTGAAACAAAACCTGGTTGCCAAAAACCGTGCAAGGAAGCTGTACGAGCAAGTTCTGACGAAGTATACCGGATGTATTTTGATGGACGATGAAACTTACGTAAAAATGGACTTTAGACAAATCCAGGGTCAAAAATTTTACTTTGCTAAACGTTAGGGGGATACTCTGGATAAATTCAAATTTGTCTTTGCAGATAAATTCACTCGCAAGTTGATGATTTGGCAAGGCATCTGCAGTTGCGGAAAGAAAACAAAGTTTTTCATCACAGGAGCGGCTATGAATGAACAACTTTACAAGGAGGAGTGTCTCCAGAACATAGTTTTGCCGTTAATTTAATCACACGAAGGTCCCGTACGCGAAGGTCCCGTTCTGGCCTGACTTGCCAGCTGCCATTACAGCCACGATGTCATAGAATGGTTTAAGCAGAATAATGTCGATTTTATTGAGAAAAGTTTCAATCCACCAAGTTGTCCAGATTTTCGTCCCATTGAAACATTTTGGGCAATTATGAAGCGCAAATTGAAGAAATGTGGCAAAAAATCGAAACACCATCTGATTTGGAGAAGTGGTGGAAAAGGATGGTAGATGACGTTGACAGTACTACCAACAATCAATACGAAACTAACGATTTTAAATTGGCTCACCACTTTAGTAGCCTATTGGTCCCAAGCAAACGATTAACGTATCCTATTCTAGTCGAAATTCTAGTACTACGCAATGTTTGTTTTGATTCGCTATGAAAGTTTGACAGATAAAATGAGGGGTTATTGGTTTTTCCTATGTTTCGAGGGGTGAATCGATTAGCTTGGGACCGAAGAGAGTACCAGAGCTGAGCCAAAAAGTTGACCACGTTATTTCGGGACCTTCTTGTCTTAGAGTTACCTCTATGTTACTACTGTGCAAGACATGATGAGAGGTATTCCGCGAAAAGTTCGAAAATTCATCCGAAAATCTGACGAATAATTGTTGAATTTTTCCCTTAAAGCTAAATAAAAATCATACAAAATGATACTTTTAGCGTTTTTAATGACCTATTTTGTGCGGCCAAATTCTAAATGGAACAGATTTTAAATGATAAGTAGCCTTTTCTGCAGGGGATTAATGGTTGGCAGTTAGGGGATGACACTCAAACCATCCGCCCCTGCTCATATATGAGTGACATCTGCTCAATTTGAGTAAAAGTTTACTCAGTGAGCTACGTGAATTTGAGTAAACGGAACTCAAATAAAAGCCAGATTCATCGGCCGTGCACAGAATCACAACTAAGAATAGAAAAAAGAAAATACTTTTAATAAAGAAAACTAATATAAAATACACTCGATTGATACAGGAAATTGCGTAATGTGACACACAGAAGACAAGATGTGCACCTGGAGCCAATGCACTTGTTGAGCCAATTTTGGTCTTCCACTTGCCAAACAGTTGATGATAGGGACAGGAAAAATTTCTCTCGAATGAAAACACACCAACACAACATCGCGTACCGCTAATCATTAATTACACATGTATTTGCATCTCACTTCATTGGTCTGTGCATAGCACACAGGCTGGATGACATTACGAAAAAATAAAAATAAGCTTTACTTAATCATATCCCTAGCAGGTAGGTATATCGTCACTACGTCGGCACTGAGCACTGGGTAATATCCGGTTCGGATGCCTAAAAGCTATCACACAATTATCGATAGGAGGTATGGTGGAAAATACATAGGTGTTTTGGAATGTGTACATAAACGTCGACTCTATTTGCATTGGGATTTAGCACCTATTCGTCAAACGCACGCTCGTCAATTGTCATCCACTTGGGTAATTGACAAGCAATGCTCTCAGTGTGGATATTTAGTCGGCTGGCTTATTGTGCGGGGTCATTAACAAATGATTGGCATAATCGGCATTACCCGTGCACGTTTATTTTCGTAACTCTTACTTTCAATGGGATTTGTCACGGTTGAAATGGGAGGTCTTTATGAGTGTTTACTCGACATAATTTCCATGGTGGGTATCAATTATCGTCTCTAAGTGAATGCTGAATGCTCGATGTGAGGTATCTTTTCCTTCTCGTAAAGCTAGGAGCCCTATTTTGTACAACGGAATTGTCATTTTCGTTTCGTATAGATCTATGAAATACTGTAAATCGGCAACAATTTGAATTTGCAGCGTACGTCGTCTATTCAATAAACGATTCAAAAATTAAATCATTTTTGGCTTTGTAGGTCTAGGTTAAGTTGATCGTTTTTCGAAAACGGGTTTCATCGGGGGTGGGTGCTTAATTATAATTACAAGTAGGTTTAAATTTACAATTGTCGTCTTAGTTTAAGCGGTGGTAAGTAAATTTAAGCTGCCGCCCTAAAGTGCATTCCGCCTTTTTACCGCATTAGACCGGTAACCGTATACCGTTCGCTGTAGCCTGAGTTTCGTGATGTTGTACAGATTTAGTTTGATGTAGAAGTTTTTCGGGTTGAAATCGAGCACCATCTCTCGGAAGTAGGTGAGTACCTAAAAATAAAGGAAGCATTATGAATTGCTGTGTATTTACATTCAATGACTGATGATGATTTGATGCACCATCGAAGCTCTAAAACGAATTCGAATTTTGTTTGTTTCATACAACATGTTTAACGCATCATTTATATAACGCCTAGCTAGACTATCAGCATGAAAAGAAAATGAAAAGAAGCACGCTTAGAACGAAAGGCTGATTGTGGATCTTCTCGTCGTTGCTTTGCTCATTGCTTTCAATGAAAGTAACGTCGATTCTAGTTCAACAAAACCTCATTATGGTTTTCAATCACTTTCACCGACACTCTATCACCGCTCTTCTAATTTGTTTAGCGGGGGAAATGTCCTAATGTTGGCCTATGGATCTAAGATTGGGCCCACCGCTAAAAATCTGCTGTTTATCAATTTTATATAGATGAACGCGTCATTGGTCGCTATTGAAAATTTAGTCGATTACTGAATTTATGTACGGGCCAAAATTAGGGGCATTTAGGCCGACATTACATCCATTTCCCCTATGCGTTGTGTCCCGTTTTCGCTACTTTTTTTTAGATAAATATGTGGATGGAAGATACATTAAACAACTAACGTGTAATCGTCATGTGTTTTCACGTGAAAAATGCTTTAAATATGTATTATCATTTACCATCATATACGTCATGAAACTTCTTTTGATGTGTTTCATGAAAGACGAAACTATCAAAGGCGAGCTCTCTTTCACTCGTCCGCATCACCGAAGCTTGAAAGAAAGACCAATAAAGCGACGGGAGAAATTGAAATCTTGTTTGTAGATGCCGGCTGAGGGCGTAGACTGCTGCGAAGCTGTTCGACTTCAACAGAATATGAATGCTAGCATTCCCTTCGTCACATCGATTTTGTCAATTGAAGCTGATATTGTGACGCGTTGTATACCATTGTTGCAAACTAATGTATAGTTACGAATTAAAAGAAAAAAGAAGTCGAACAACTCATTACGAAACAGAAAGCTACCTCATCATAGTCCGTAGCATTAGTTGTAATAATTAATCTTTTCGATTTAACCTTCACATGTCGTCCGCACTCGTCAAAATATTTCATTCCTGATTGATACGCCATCCGCTGCCAGTACCGGAAGGCTTTTAGCGTGGCCCTACCCTCTCATTTGATGTGTGCCTCTTACTTGCTCTAAAAGCCGAAGTGTACCTTAGAAGTTTGTAGCAAGTGGTGCAAAATTATTCAGCAACTTATGAGATTAAAATTAATCATCTTATGGAGCCAGTAGCAGTTGCGATGTTCCTTTCGCAATCACTTAAGCCGTCATCATCATCATCATCATCGTCATCATCTTTACTTGGCGTATTAATTTTAACAACCTATCGTAACATCGTAACAACCTATTTATTGACACACGTTCAACACGGTGCAGAGCTTACCCTCGATGAGTTGAACTGCGTAAAGGTGATACTTTCGCCCTCACCAGCGGTAAACTTTTCCACGACGGTCACGTTCTGCGGTTCGCTAAACGGGCCAACCGATTTGTACATCACTTTGAGGATTTCGTCACCTGCAATAAAATGGATTCATTGAATGTGTAAAAGATAAGAGGATTTTCCGAGATTCGTTGGTATTTAATTAAAACATTTAATTATACTAGACAGAAGAAGAGGTGGTTTATTTTACATTTGTCAAATGAATATTATCATGCTTGCCACTTAATAAATGACTTTAAAAATTGTGCTTAGAATTAGAAATTTCTCAATTAACAATTGTTGAATTGCTCAATGAATATTAGGTTGAAGGCAAACAACATGTACCATTTTCTTCAAGCAGTTTTTTTCTGGTATTTAAAATACATTCAACCTTGGACACGTAGTGATAATTCAAATAAATTATTATCATCTTCCGACTCTCAGGGGCGTTTCTGAGGACACGGGCACGGCACGTACTTTATGCTCATAAACACGTGAAACGACTCAAAAAATTAACAACTTTATGCTTTAACGACTTGCTATTAACTTGTCTTGGGCTAAGTACCGTTGTCTGAATTCCCAGTTAATTATCCCACACTCGAGGTGCTTATGGAAAGAATATGATTGAAGAGGTCTTCTGATTGTCGAATATTAACTGAAATTTAATTTAATTTTGAAAAAAAAAAGTATAGAGGAAATGGATGTAATGTCAGCCTAAATGGCCCTAATTTGGGTCCATACATAAATTCAACATAACTAGATTTTCAATAACGACCAAAAATATCCATGAGTACCGTCCCAATGACGCGATAATCTAGATAAAATTGATAAATAGCATACAGCAAAAAATTAATTTTGATATCACATCAAAGTGGATGCACTTCAATCGTGTCGAAAATATGGTGTAATATTACTTGCCAAAAAGGACAAAATTATTATTAATACAGTGCATGAACTGACATTACGCTGCTTTTACTGCATTTGTTTATTTTTGTGGCCATAGTGCATCTTGTTGGATGCAATATTAAAATTTATTTTTTGCTGTGCAGATTTTTAGCGATGGGCCCAATCTTAGATCCATAGGCCAACATTGGAGCCAGTTCCCGTATATCTTTTGTTTTGGGAATACAAAGCTAAGTTCGCATGGACAAAAAGGCGTTTGGTCTTGACATATTGAGTGGAATAATATCGTATTCGTGAACATGGATTATTCCGAGTGGTTTTTAATTCCGCTCACTCGACTTAAGGGCTGAACACAATGACAGCGGCATAGTGGCATAAAGGGTGGAACGGTCAAAAATTGGTCAATCATGATTAAGTGCACACTGATTTAGTTATTGCATAAATGATCAAACTTTATTTCAGACTAGACTAGACTAGACTAAATGATCAAACTTTATTTCATTTCAGTTCAATGACAACAAGATACAGGAAAATTATTTGATTAGGTTTCCGTTTTTCCAAATGCGAACTGTCGGGATTTACGTTTCACATCTTCCATCAGATTTTGTACCACTGTTGTATTAACCTTATTTGATGCTGAACGTCAATTTGCTTCGAACTGTTTCTCATTTCCAACTGTTTTCTGAGTTTTCTTGAGGATGCGCTTAACGATTGCCCAATATTTTCCAATTGGGTGCAGCTCCGGCGAGTTTGGAGGGTTTTTGTCTTTGGGTACGACTTTCCCGTTGCTGGTGGTATACCGTTCCTGACCCTAATAAACGGATACCATACACTAACGATATCATAGATGGTACGACCATGCCGCTTAAAGTTTGGATGATATCCCGAATTGGTGGTTAGGCGCCTCTTATGGTTATTGTTTATGCGGGAAGCCATTTTCCCGTAGTGAAAGCAAGCGAGGTCTGGCCAAAACAGTACGGAACAACTGTGTTTTTTCAAAAAAGGCAACAATCGTTTTTGTAAACATTTCTTTTCATAAATATCTTGGTTGACAATATCAGTTGTCACAAAAATTTCCCTTTTCAACCGACAGATACAAATCTCCTGTTAATCAAAGTTGATCTTCGGAAACGTTGACAACTTTTTCTGCTTAAACTTATTATGAACCTTTCTTTTTCCGGTAGCCGTGTAAACTCTTGACCTGAGAACTGTTTGAAATCCGCCTTGACGTATATTGCATCCTTCATTATAACACAATTAAATTGCTGACGCAATCAATCTGCGTGGAAATAATTTAGATTTCTCTTATGCGCGAGCTAAATTTTGATACGCTGTTCCTCTTGCTTTGACGCCATTTTGACAATTGAATCGAAAATGGCAAAAAATAGAAGCAACATTCCGTACGTAGACCTAAAAAATGAGGGGTGTTCAAGTTGTTTAAATGCACGATAAAGAATTGCCAAATTTGAGTCGACCAATTTTTTACCGTTCCACCCTTTAGCGGCACACGAAATGTACTAAAATCGCGCTAACCGCTTTACCGCTATCGCTTTGCCGTATCTATTTAGTTTTAATCTTCCGCTGCATTCCGTACGTAAACAAACCACTTAAACGGGATTATTTTGAGTGCAGTTTTGAGTTTGAGTGACTAATTTCCGTATGGCTTTGTTGGTAAGTATTAACAATTATTTAAAATAGAATCAAGACAAACCAACTATCTTGATTATTTCACCCATTCTGTTTCTGTTTAATCTGACGTCGAAACACAGTAACAAGTAGTAGATCAGAATAATGTGTTCAATCAGATCGAGTCCAATTCTGCTGTCCGGTAAGGATCCTCAGTTGGGTATACTTTTGGCGGACAAGCTTGTTGGTGGTGGCAGTGTGTGTACTCCTTTCATCGACGGGAGCTGCAACTATCTGAAGAACGCCATTTGATGTTTAGTTTCAGTTACCTGAATTATTTCTGATCTACCAGAAGAACAAAAAAGTAAGAAGATGTATCCAAGACACGACCGTAGATTTGACGTAGGATTACGAAAGGTAGTTTTGAAGTCGCAGCAAAAGTATAGTAAATATTAAATTGATTTCTTAACTAGTTATCAGTGAAAAAGTTTGATAGGTTGAAATTCGGAAGCAATTTGAGAGTTCTGTTTCTGAGGTACTCTATAGATGTCCATGTAGTACAAGCAGCGTTGCCAGTATTCCAGATTTATCTGGATTTTCCAGATGTTCGGTCATCCGGCCAGATACACAGACAGATCACGTATATTTCCAGATTTTTAAAATATGTTCCAGATTTTCCCAGATTTTTTCAAATATTTTGCTTTAAAAATATCATTGCAATTGATTTACTCAAAAAATAAAAACTTCTTTAATTATTAAAGGCCATCAACGTTGGAAATTATTACAACATCGTACACGGAATTGTTGCAACATGTTTGCATGTTAATGGTTTGCAGAATCATGAAAATTGAGCCATATTCTTAAGATTATTCGCTGAAAAAAATCTTCAAACTTTTAAAAATAGTGGCCCTGAATGTTTGTTTAATTAGAATTTTTATTTATTTTCTATATAAAAAAAAATCCAAATTTCAGTACGGAGGAATTTTCATATTTTTTTTTAATTTAGAGAAATCAAAAACCACAGACAAACAGACATAAACATTGAATATTTCCCACTGTCAAACATCGTCGCTAAAACATTACCGCCATCTGTTGAGTACGCTGTGGTGGGTAGTATGCTGAACAGATGGCGGTAGTGTGTAAACATCAAACGCAAGGGAATTGACTATGCGCGCCACAGGTGGCGGTACTACCAACTACGATACTTTTAAATTGACCGTTAAATGCTTGTTCGATGAAGAATTTGCGAGTGATATGTCTGTTTGTCTGTGCAAAAACTGTTCAGGATTGAAAACAATAAATTCAGCCTTGGAAAATTAGCAAGACTTTTGAATCTAGACAACCACCAGGACTTTGAAGTATGTTTGTGAGATTTTTGAGGATAATTCATAAGGAAAATTTGAAAGGCATCTGATAATTTTTAGCAATTTTTTAAGTACCTGTGAATATTGAGTTACAGCAGTCTGAATTTATTTAGAATTCTGAATTGCCCTAGAATTTCATAATTTTAAGGTAATGTTTAAAATAGTTTACAGTGAAGTGTGAGGTAAATTCTTTGCGAAAACAAAGGAGAATTTAAAGTTATATTCTGAGTAGAGTTCCATCCATCTTTGTAAGCTTCGTGGTCGTGCGGTATCACCCGTCCTTTAGGCGTATTGTGAGTGCCACGAAGTGAGGGTTCGATTCCCGCTCCAGCCAGTAGAACTTTTCGCAACCTGAGAATTGTCCTACTGGTCTACTGGGTGTGGTGTGTTGTCAGTTTTCTAGTGTTAAGTTTTCAGTCTGTGCAATCTCTGGTTGAAGACAGTGTCCGTTGTCTTTTAAAAAGCTCTTATGACAATTGCATGGAGATATTGTGAAGAAAAGAAATAGAATTCGGAAGAGAAATCAAAGAAATTTCTTATGAAGAAACTTAAGGAGTATGCTAATACGAATCGTGAGAATAATTTCAATGGAATTCTGTTCCATGTTTCTATGGAGTTTCATTTTTATAAAATTTTAAGAAATTTAATAGGAATTATGAGAAAAGAACATGTGGCAATTTCTGGGAGACTTTCAATGCCATTTTGGCAAAGTATAAAGAGTACTTTGTAAATACTGAAAAGGATTTCAAAAACAATTCTGACCGTACCTACAAAGCAGCTCAAAGGGAATTATCGGATGAGTCTGAGAATAGTGTGACGGTGATTCTGAAGAGTGTGCCAAAGAAATTATTAAGAATATTCTAATGGTATTTCATAGAGAAAGATGAAAAGAAAATTATGCCAATTATTGGAAATTATTTCTAGTTTGAGGGAGTTGTGGAATCAAAGAGTGATTTATAAGAGATAACAAGAGAACTCTTTATCGAGATTATTTTAGGGGAATCCAGAAAAGAAGTATGATGGAATTCTACGATGATTCAAATGGAACTCTGAAAAAAGGACGAAGTTATCCTGTAAAGAGTTCCATGTAAATCCAGACAAATAAAAAGTTTCATGATCTGGGACCCAAAAAATATATAAATTCCGCTTTCAGACATTCATTTTAGTTATATAATAAAAAAATTCGTAATGGTAATGCAAAC